GTTGTGTGTTGCAGAGTGATATGGCTGCTGGCATAGAGGAAGTTTACTTAATGCTCTCTTCTGGTTTTAAATGTTGAAATTTTTCTCTATGGTGATCCTTTCACATAGAAACAATCCTTTCGTGTCTTAGTGTCAATTGAACAAAGAAATGTTTTAAATGGCAATTTATTCCCATTTACTTAGTCTCTATTTTATTTTTTTAGCAGAAACGTCGAAGTCTCAAACACGTAAACCCAAGTGCAGTAAAGGTTTCCACTGTTCACGGAATGCGTACATGTTAGTCTACAAACTGCAGAACGAAGACAAAGATCAAGCTGAGATTAATGTTCAGGTACCAGGTAAGTGGACCGCAATTCTTGGCGGGGAATCTGAAAGATGCTCAGTGCGAAGCACTGTGATCCTGCAGGATCTGAGAATCCTGGGATTTTATGTAATCCACTGTGAGGTGCTGTCTGATGTTTGCTTATTCTCCTGTTTTCCAGTCACATACACAGATGTGTGAAACTCTTTGGTATACTGTTGAAGCAGAAAAACAGTGCAGCCTGTATAGCTGAAATAGATCACTGTATATAGCAAAGTTTTTGTATATCTTGTTCTTGTATATCTGAATTATTATGAAATTACCAGATTATTTTTCCACAATGTAGGCTGTGAAAGTCAAAATTCTTTGTTGTGTGCTTTCATCTATTAAAATAGTGATTTAAGTAGCCTTTATAAACTCCCTTTTGTAAGGGGTAGATTTACCGCCATTTCTTACAGTACAATCAATTATTGTTGCTTTGAGCAGCGTGGGATTCCTGTTAAACTAAGTGTCTAATCTGAATTGCGATCAAAAGCTTTCCTGCAGAAGCTGGTGGAAAGGGACAACAAGAAGTTTGAGGAGTGGTGTATGGAAATGGCTGACATGCGAAAGCAGAGTGTAGACAAGGGCAAAGCCAAACACGAAGAGGTGAAGGAGCTCTACGAATTGTTACCTGCTGAAGACGGTCTGTAAAATCATTCTCGTACAGTATCACATTTCAGACAAACGGTTAAGAGGGCTGTGAGTTTAAAATGCTACGTTGAAGCTACAAAAATGCCTTCCGTTACAGTGATGTTTCTCCCAGGGAGTTGTTCTGTGCATGATAATAACCTTCAACATCTGTGCCTTAAACTGCCATATCTCACACAGAGATGCTTCCCAAGTTAAAGACTTGGTGACATCAGTGAGCTCATGACAGTCAGAGTCACTTAGTTATTATATAACTTTGTCCATCCGTACAAAACTACAAGTTATAACTGGGTTACGCCAGTTATAATCCTGGTGGAGATATCTGTTAGCTTGCGTTGTAAAATATGTCTCTGTGTTTATAGCCATGAAATATGCATAAAACATCATCCCTTTCTGGTATGTTCTGTTTGATACACACTGTAAAGTGGTTTGATGTAAAGAAATGTTTACAGGTTTGTTAAAACCCATGGCATTTGATGTTTCTTGAATACCATTTGATCTATCGAGAAGCATTAAAAATGCAACCGATGCTGCTGGTTCCAATATTCGTGTTACATTTCTAATGCCTCTCGGTATATTACAATGTGATTTCCATTAGCTGGCAAAAGTACTGAACTACAAACTCATTTCAATCAAAATTGTGATTAAAGTTCAGGTTTACTGTCCTTCAAAAAATTATGTATTACCTGTGTTTCTTTACTAGCTGCTTAATGTGTTAAGATTTATGTTGGATGTTTGCCTGATTTTATTAACAATTCAGAGCACTTTTATTTGCTTACTGTCTTCAGGAGTATAGAGAATTTCAGACCTCTCCCCATTGAAATGGTCACTCTCTGAATGGAAAAATAATACAAACTCTATATCTTATAACATATTATTGTAGCCCAGTCCAACCTTTGCTTTATATTAAGCTTTCTAATTGTCTGTGTTTTTATGAATGAATGCTGTGCATGTGTTATGCTTAGCCTTTATATCTGTTCCCATTATCAATGCTTTGTTTCTAACTATTTTGTAGGCCAGCCTTTTGAATTTGTCCCGCTGGATTGGCTAAAGAAATGGCTGGATGATTCCACTGTTACCAAATCTATTGACAACTCTAAGTTCCTCTGTTCTCATGGGAAGCTACACCCAGACAAAATAGGAGATGTGAAACGGATATCTTTAAAAGCTGCAGAAGTTTTCTTTCTTAGATATGGAGGAAGTCCCAGATTAGATGGTAAGACATTCAAAAGTATTGGATTTTTAACTATTGCGAAATCTACCCTGTGCTTAGATTCTTCCCAGGTGTCAGTCGTAATATTAAGGAGCAGTAGTAACGTCAGTCATTTAGGCCTGGACAGGACTGAAAACAAGTCATTGTTAAATACACAACGCCAACATTTTTGGTTAAAACGCGATCTAAGCTTAGATTCTAAATTTTCAGTGAGGCTCTTGACCTTTGAGCAAATTAAGGTTCACGTTTCTCTGATTTCCTTTGTGTTTGGGGACTTCCATTAACATTTTTAGGCCACTCCTCGTGGATGTTTTGCTTTTTGGTCAGATTTTGATGTAATAACCGAGATTTTTTTCCTTTTTTCATTCCGTGTAGCTTCATCACTCTGTCAGGATTGTGTAGTACAGCGGTGTCGAGTGCTGCGACTAAAAAACCAGTTAAATGAGGATTATAAGGTTATTTCCAACCTTGTAAAAGTTGCAGTAAGCAGGTAACCATAACATTTTTAAGACCAATGAATTACCAAAGACAAGAACAAAACAATGATGGACACAGGCTAAGGCCACAGGGCTCATGTTGCTCTTTGCTCTTTTGGATGTAAACAGTTTAAAAAAATCTATCAAGCTGTTTCTTCAAAGATCCCTTCGTGTCAGTTTCAATAGCTAAGGAGTTGGTTCCAGGTTCCAGCTGTTTTCTGTGTGAGAAGCATGTCTTGTTTGTTCCAAGTTTAATTTCTATATGTGTGCCTGGGTTTTTGTACTGTTTCTAAACTTAGAAAAGTCCCCCATATTCAGTTTCATTCAGTGTCTCACACATTCCAACATTATCTTCTCCCCTCCAAGCTTAATAGACTTAGTTCCTGGAATCTGTTTGAGTATGATGCAATTGTCTGCCTTAAAGCTATATACTATTATAAAAGTCAAGTTATTAGAAGGAAAACAAATCTTGATTTCTTCCATTTTTCCTTTTGAGAAAAACAAAAGCCACATGCTGTTGGGTATTGTAGTAAGGGGTGTCATTTCCTTAAAGAGCTGTGAAAGTGAATGCATCATCGAATCCATCACTGTCTGGTTGGACTTGCATGTTTCCAGACGGTTTTTGCTTGGTTTTCCAAACGCTGTCTTTGGAGTGACTGCAAATGCCTAATGTTTGAACGGCTGTTTTGAAGTAACGAGGGGTTCTGGATCGGCAAGGCCTCTCTCCGAAGCTGGCGGCAGCTGGCCCTGGAGCAGCTGGAGGAAGACGAGGAGGAATCCAAGCACACTAATGGGAAGACCAATGGGGAAGGCCCAGCAGTCCTGGAGGCCAAGGGTAGGTTATTTTCAGTGAAAGGAGACCCTATTGGCTTATCTGTTATCATCAAAGAGCAAAGGGACATTAATATAACTGACATCTGGGAGACACTGTCCATTGCAGCTCAACTGTTTGTAGAGACCAGATCCCTGAATTTTATTTTACTGTGCCTGGCCCTTACATTGAGTCAGAAATGACCATACATGACATAAAACAAGGCATTGCTAAGGCTTGGAAAATGCAGACAAAACAGAGCTTCTATAATACTTTTGTAACTTTGTGTCCTGACGTGCACTTGTGAACTGTGCTGTTGATGAACACCTCCCAGGTGTCCTCTGTAGGATGCACAAATGCTAACGGTAAACAAAAAGTCATTTCCCACAATTCTAAGCCTACTTATCTGTTGTCTAGAAGTTGTGATTCTTATTGTAATCAGACCGACTAACCACTTAAAAAACACTTAGCAGTGCCCACTGATGTATAACAATTTGAACCTATTTTCCGTTAATTTTGTTTTTGACAGTAATTTTTTTCAAAACTTTCAGTGACATATCTTTTAAAACAGATGGAGCAGTTCCTGAGAACCAAGAGGCAGAAGATGAAGAGAATTTAAATTTCAACGAAGACATACTCTGTGCACATGGTTTGTAATGAATTGCTTTGTTTTTGTGGTTTTGGAAAAGGGGGTGATTTGAAAGTTGCGTGGCTATAACTGTGCTGTTGGACATCGTTTTTTTTAAGGAAAATGTATTTCCTTGCAGTGCTGTTTATCACTAAGTAATGGACCATAATTTAGAATATACACACTGCATTTATACAAACATGATTAAAGTTTCTTGGAGATTTTGTTGAAATTGAGGAAGCTCATTTCTGTATGATAGTGTAGTGTTTCCCAGCCCTGGCCCCAGAGGGACCCTACAGGTTTTCATTCCAGCTGAGCTCATCTGCTTGCTTGCTCATCAGACTTTATAACTTCCATCAGTCAGTCCTGTCCAAAATACCATAATTCGAAGGAACTCTGTCCAACAGCGTCCACACATGGAACTTAACTCTTTCTTCGTCTTGCTTGTCATTGTTTCCGGCTACTTAAACTAGAATTCCTGATGAACAGATTCAGGAGGAACTCCCTGTATGAGCGTTTTTTCCTCCTGCAGAGGGAGTGTTGGTCAAGCGAGTTGATAGCAAGTACAAATCCAGTTGGGCCTTTTTACAGTTGAAAGTATATTTTCAAAGATGTACCAGATATAAAACTGAAATTGGTTAGCCTGTGATTAAGAATTTGACGAAGCAAATGCCAGGGGAGATGATATAGCAGGAAAGTGGTTCCCTTATCTTATTGTGCTACAGGACTTAATGCACGGTATTTGCCCAGTCCAGGAATAAACATTATAATCCAATACATGCTATTCCAGCACCTGCCAATAGTATATCTTATGTTAGTTTAAAATAAATTAAGATCCATGTCTTTTCCTTTAAAAAGGTGGCCTTTGCATATCAGAAAATGACAGAAAGCTCATTTCTAGTGAAGTCTGGAGGAAACTGAAAGTGTATTTTCCAAAAGCACCAGAGTTTTCAAGCACACAGGACTCTTGTCAAGAGTGCATGGTGAGTAAAGAGATATGCCACCATTGGTAAGGAAAAAATAATGCACTGTGTATTGTGTAGTCAGCTAACGTAGGTAAAGAGAAGTTAAGAGACATAGAAGTCAAGAACAACATAACATACTTTTTCAGCTCCGTCAGCAAATTCATGTTTTAATGTATCAAGAATTTAACATAATATGAATCATCTTGGTAAAATTGATCAATGGTGTGATTTGATAAACAGCTTAAAATCAACTTGTTTTACATGTTTGTACTTCAGAAGCAAAAGGGTTTGATATTGTACATAAATTATGCAACATAAGAAATACAGTATCAATCTTAGGGAGAAAAACAGCATAGACTGATGTAGTATTGGCTTTTGTAGCTGATCGTGGGTGAGATCAGGGCTATCTTGCAGACAGGTGGATCTGAAAGATGTTGCTGACAGAAATCTCAGCAGTTTGAATACTTTTAGAGCCATCGACACTGCAGGACAGCCTGACAACAAACCGCAAAAAGAGCATTAAAATATAGTGCAAGAGTATGAGAGTTTTGTGCTTTTTCTTTTCAGAGGCTGGAAAGGGAGGGCAAAGAAAATGAAGCTTTGAACAGGATGATGGCACATGAGCAAAAGACGTCTCTGCTCAATCTCTTCCACGATAAAAACAGACCAACTCTCCAAAAATGGCCTGAGGTACAATCACATAACCCATAGCTGACTTGGGCTATCTGTGGTGTTCAGTTGGAATATTGTGTACTTGTTTACAGAGGGAGAGATCTGTATTAGTATTTACTAACCTTTTTTCTTCCTCTGCAGGACACAGATTGTCTTTACATTGTCTCTTTATTCTTTGTAGAAGAATGGAGGAGATTTATCAGGTGATATATTTTTGTTCTTCTCATTTTTTTTCCCAGCAAATGAAACTATACTTTCACAGTGGAATTCGGACATATCCTAACAATGCTCATTTCGAAATTCAGATTTGCTGCATATCACCACTGCGGCACCCGGGCTGCCTCAGGAATTTGTTAGATAAAGATAAAATGTATAATTATTTGATAAAGATCTCTGGAGTGGCTACACATCAGAAATAAGCAGCTGATTTGTGCCAAATCCAGAAGATGTCAGGGGTGTCGATTTTCAAAGCTAATGAAATACAGTGCCTTGCAAAAGTATTCAGACCCTTGACCAATTCTCTCATTTGGCTGAATTACAAATCCTACATTGAAATTTTGTTCTCTGTGATTTTTTTTTATTTCAAAGCACTGAAACTCAGAATTAATTATTTTAATGGGACATTGTTTTGTGTTAGAAAATATTAAGCAAAATAAAAAAAACTGAAATGTGCTGTATAAGTATTCAATCCCTGTATTTTAAAATTTTGTAGAGCCACCTTTTGCAGCAATAACAGTTTTAAGTCTTTTGGGGGTAAGTATGTACCAGCTTTGCACACTGTTTAGGAGTGATTCGGGCCCATTCTTCCAGGCAGATTTGCTCCAGGTTGTTCAGGTTAGTTGGGTGACGCTTGTGCATCGCAATTTTCAAATAGTGTCACAGGTTCTCAATTGGATTGAGATCAGGGCTCTGACTGGGCCATTGCAGGACATCCCCCTTTTGAGCCACTCCAATGTTGCTTTGGCTTTGTGTTTGGGATCTCCTGCTGAAAGATGAACTTTCTCCCAAGCTTCAGTTTTTTTAGCAGACTGAAACAGGTTCTTGTTAGTATTTCCCTGTATTTTGCACCATCCTTTCTTCCTTCTATTTTAACAAGATGCCCAGTCCCTGGGACATTCAAACACTTGGATATTGTTTTGTACCCTTTTCCTAATTTATGCATTTGTTTGACTTTATCTCTTAACTTAATTGGAATGCTCTTTAGTCATTTTCACAGCTGTCCTTCAGATTCACCACCTGAATAATGATCCCTTAACTGGGGGGTTTTTATCCAGAAAACGTGGCAGTTATTTTAATGATTCACAGGTAGAGGCCAATTAGAAGGCAATTGTGTCCTCGTTAGGGCAATTGCTTTCCGCCTGTGTAAACTTAGAGCTTCTGCAACACAGGGATGGAATTCTTATGCAAAACGTATTTCAGTTTTTTATTTTTCTTAAGAATATTTTCTAACAAAACAATGTCGCATTAAAATAATTCATGCTGAGTTTCAGTGCTTAAAAATATCCCAGAGAACTAAATTTCAATGTAGGATTTGTAATTCAGTCAAATTAGAGAATCGGTCAAGGGTCTGAATACTTTTGCAAGGTACTGAATAAAAGATCCTGATTGCTATCTCACAATATTGGACGTTTTATCTATGTAATAGCATAAGCCAGTCAGTACACAACTAAATATGGTATGCAAAACTATTTTTGAGCTGCTTACAGATATAATCTGACAGTAGGTTTGTGCTGATCTCACAACTGCTGTGTAACATTGTTTTGAATCACAGGAGACCCACGAGGTGTAACCCTGTTTCCAACGTGGGCAACAGTGTTCTGCTTTGTCCACATGGGGGCTTCATGTTCACTTTTGACTCCATGGCGAAAGGAGACGCCAAACAGTGAGTGTGTCCCATTTTTCACGTCCCCTGTATCACCTTGCACCAGTATGTACGTAATAATCAGCACTGGAGCGCGAATTCACTTCTTACTGCCGATACAGATACTGTTCATTTGAAACCAGTGGTATTCACGAGTTTGTGTATTTAATAAATACACAAGAATATATCAATGTGTCAACACTGAGTCACCCTCATGAGCAGAGTAGATTCCAAGTGAATTCTTTTGTGTGCAATTCTTTATTGATGTCATTAACATGACCAAATTATAAATAAATCAGTCTACACTTTTTCAACTGAATGTGATTACCACTTGTTCGATTAATGATATTAATCTTTTTCCTGAGGTTGTAAATCTCCACTGAAGCATTTATTCTGATCACAGGTTTAACCCCAGACCATGTTTGTTTTTATTTTATCCTGTGTTGTTAATTTTCTTTTTTACTATTCATAACTTTTGAAATGTATTTTTTTGTAACAGCACCAGGATATAAAATACTGTATCCTTGGAGTTTCTCTCAAAACAGTGTGCGAAGCCCTGAAGGCCAAGTTGTGGCATGTGTGTTTTATTAACTGGGCAGCGAAATGATGTACATTGAAATATATACAGTAGCCTCTTCAGGTCTTCATAGATCTGACAATTAGTAACTAAACATTGATGCAGTATGAAATGCCAGGTGTACATTCAGTATATAAATATGTCAATAACACTATGACTTTTTTGTTGTACATATATATTGAATGTCTATCAAATTCAAGATATATTTGAATATATTTCTTAGGTTCTTAAAACTTCTTTATTCTCTCCTCCATGCCAAACTTCTCCATCTCCTTCAGAATGTGCAACCTGCGTATCTGCTTTCTTTTACTCCTCCCATTACATTCCATAAACGTTCTACTAGAGACTGCAACAGCTAATCAAGACCACTGATTCTCATACTCTCTTAAAGAATTAGTAATTGAGCTGAATCCAGGCTGTATAATGTCCTTTTGTAGCACTATTTGTAACCAAGCTTGAGCTTCTACACAGACGTCGCTAATTGCTTAGTAAACTTTGGAATTCCTCTTCTCTCTCACTGAAAGCCAACCTTTAAACAGAACAGTTATTGCTGCAGCAAAGCCCTGAGGTCTTGGGTTCAGTCCAGACCTGGAGTGTGTATTCTCCCGTACGTATTACAGGTTGAAAATCCTTTATCCAAAATTCCAAAATCTGAAAACCTCCAAAATCCGAAACTTTCCAGCTCACAGTGATGTCATTGATGACGTATCCTCTCCCTCAAGTTTCTCGGACCTGATGTAGTTGTAATGTCTGGGGCTGCATTTATCTTCAAGTTTGTAAGCAGTGATCATCATGTTTTGTTTTGTTTTTTTGTACAGTAAGACGAAACGTTATTTTTACGTGAGATCTGAATTTCACCTCCATGTATGAGTGTAACTTGACTAGCGTCATTACCTGTACATTACTTTAAAAATAAAATGCTGACTTTTTTCAGTTTTCATTTTATTTACCTGTAATCATATTCAATGCTTTGTTTTTATACCTTACATAAAACTTAATACCTGTATAGTAAAAAATACAAATGGCTTATGTGTAGTGTAACCTTTTAATCAAAACATGACATCATAGGTGGAGGCTGATATCTTACCTTTCTGATGGTATTATGTTTAAAAAATTATTAAAAATGTATATAAAAACATTCAGGGTATATGTATAAGCTATATTATGACATGTAAATGGATATCGTGTTTAGATAGATTTGGGTCCCCTCCCCAAGCTGTCCCATTTTATAGATGCAAATATAAAAATATTCCAAAATCTGAAATCCGCAACACCTTCGGTCCCAGGAATTTCGGATAAGGGATTCTCAACCTGTAGTAGGTTAATTGGCTTTTTTAGAAAATTGCCCTGGTGTGAGGTTGTGTGATTGTCTCTGTATCTGCCCTGTGATGGACTGGATGCCAGTCCAGGGTGTATCCTGCCTTACAGCCGTTGCATGCTGGGATAGGCTCTGGCTCCCCTGCAACCCTGAATTGGATCAAGTGGTTAGGAAATGGGTAGATGTCATTGATATTTACCCTGCCCTTTCTCTGGGCTGTTTTGTTCTGGCCACAGAAGCAGTTATCTTGACTTTTTCCCCCAAGGGTGTATACACATCATCACTTTGTATGCCAGTATCGTCACAAGTAATCTGTCTTAACTCTAATGATGGCAAAGTTTTTTGAAGATGCAGATATCCTGAAGTATCACGTTTGCATGCTTTAATTCATAAATGTTGAAATATCTCGATATATACCTGTGTTTTCTTTGCCAATTCAGGTTTTAGTTACAGTTCATCAAGGATGTGAATACATTTGGAGACTGTGTATGTGGTAAATAAGAAATACTAACAGAAGAGCTGGCATCAGTCTCTTTCAAAGTTGATGCGGATTATTTTTGAGTGAAAACTCCGATTCTGATCACTTTTGGAAACTGCCATTGCAGTATTGCAAATGTTCATCTCGTGTGTTTGGCTTTTCCTTTGCACAGTATAGCTCTGCTCTGGCCGAGTGAATGGGAGGTCATAAGCAGACTTTTTCTTGTGGACCAGCCTATTAAAATTTATAGGCTGGTGGACATGATCCAAAACTCTTCAAACTCTGGATACCGGACTGATCCAGGTCAGTTTTTTTTTTTGTTTTAAAATGAAATGTCTGCAAACTCTCTTCAAATTTGTTACTTCTCAACAAACCACAAGTGGTTAACCTAATTTCTTGGCGGAGTAAAGAATGGAATGTAATCGAAATTTAAAAAGTATTCTACTCCTGCTGCAACTGTGATCTGTTTACCCTAAAGAAACTGGGAAGAACCAAGGGTTTTGACTTCCACATTGAAGGCGTTTTAATTCTGAGACAAGTGGTTTCCTGTTTAGTAATGTTCCAAAGCACTGATTATTATTTGTGACTGTTTCAGAACTTTGTCTGGATTGCAGAGAAGGATTGTTGTTTCAGCAGCAAAGAGATTTGCGTGAATATACCCAGGCCACTGTTTATGTCCGCAAGGTTATCGACAATAAAATGGTGGGTTCACAAATGCCTTTTTGTGCTTGTTCAGTTTAAACATAGGAAATAGTTTTGAGAGAATAAATAATTTTGATGTCGAATGAGGTTTATGTGAATACATAGGTAAAACAGTAATTGGGGAAAGAAAGGTTTGTAATTGTCAAACAAAGAAATATGTGTACTGTATCTGGTTTTGAAGAAAAAAATGTCAGAAGCTGATTGTAGAGTCTTTCAAAGTACTGATAAGATAGATACTTTATTGATCCCGTGAGGGAAATTGCAGTACAACAGAAGCTTTACACAGACAACACAGCCACAGTGTAACAAATGATACAATAATAATAATAATAGTATAAGTACTAAATTTCAATTAGGGCAAATCTGTTTGACTTTAGACTTAATTTTGGAAAACTGTCCCTGGAATATTTGTACCAGGTTTGTAGGAAGAACCTTTGATTTTTAACAATGGCATGAAGTTTGAGCTGTGCTGCAAGTGATCGTTGATCGAAAATGTAGACCAAAGAGGTTAAGGGACCATTGTCAGTCTTTGGTTTCAGACTGCAAAACTATATTGTCCTATCGCTGTACCCTAAAGTTTAGCTGTGGACGTGCTTGATTTTCTGAACAGGTAATGAAGGAAGCTGCTCCCGAGTTTAATGTGAGTGGTTCAGATGCCGAAGATGAGAGAGAGGAGCCAAAAGTCGAAGGAGAAAATGATCCTGATTTTAGCCAGGTAAATTTATCTTCTCTCCGTTTCGGTAATGAAATTCGAATTTCCATTGCAGGACTGCACTATTCTTATGTTCATCACCAAGGGAAATGCTTGTTAATCGTCTGTCTTACTAATTAGGCAGACTGCTGCTCAGTCAGACCTGCTCCCACTTGGCATAATGGAATGTCGTTCTTCATTTTAAATCTGGGATTATTTGCCGACATCACGAGCCCCCCCAGCTGCACTGCGGCGCTTCGGATTCCCTAATCCTTGGTTTTTCCCAACAGTCCCACGATGGGACCAAGCGCCAGAAGCTGGGCGACTCCGGCACGGGCCCCAGCTCCCAGCTGAGCTCCTTCGTCATGCCCCAGAAGACGAGCATCCGGAGGAGCACTCGGCACAGGAAGGTCCGCGGAGAGAAGGCTCTCATTGTGTCGGCTAGTCAGACGCTGAAAGAGCTCAAGATACAGGTAGCCCACCGTTCCTCAGAGCGATCGCTTGCTCTCACTTTCTGATTGGCTCAGAACTGTCATGGAAAGTTACTGTGTTGTAAAAGCAGCTGGATTTGATGAACAAAGTGTGATTGTACCCAGCGAGTCAAGGGCTCGGGATGTTTTAATGAGGTTTATCTCTGCCCCAGCAAAAAAGGCAGATGCAAAACTGCACATAGCTGTCTTCTCTGTTCTTCAAGGCTAAGACCTGTAAGGACTGGAAAATTACTGTCTCACCTGTCTTTGTATTACTAACCAACCATAATGAAGTAAACAAGTTGAGGTGTTGCATCAGCTAAGTGTATAAAATAAGGGACCTTTTCCTATTTTACTTTGGAAATCAGCTCGCACTTGCTGCGCAGACTGGTGGTGGCTGTTTTTCCCTATTGCGCAATATGAATAAATGCCTTACTGGGTGAATGAGAACCCCTTACCTGGCACTTCATTGATAAAATTCCATGACAAAACCTGGAAATGAAAACTTTTCCAGTTCGCTTTTTGACTTTGAGCTGCAACGCGGGATGTGTTCTAGCTTTCAGAGGTCCACCGCTATGATGAGCGCATTTTAGAGCCAACTTTCAGACTGTTCTGTCTCATAATTGGACCAGGGCCCTTTCGTGGCTTCTGAATTGTCCTGTGGTATTTGCCTGAAAAGGCTGGCCGGCTGTTCAGAGTGCAGGTGGAGTACATTTTGACTCAACTGTTTGTCACTGTTATGTAGTCTAGAGCAATTAGAGACAAATTTATGTTGGATTAAATGAAATCCCTGGAGTAAAAAGTAAACCTTGTCCATTCTCCCTTTTAGATAAGATAAGATCACTTTATTGGCCAGATACAATTTCTTGCATTAGGAATTTGTCTTTTCTCATACCCCATCTTGCTCTCCATGAGACACACAGACACACAGACAGGGAGAGAAGCTTGGGGTCAGAGCGCAGGGTCAGCCATTTATACGGCGCCCCTGGAGCAGTGGGGGTGAAGGGCCTTGCTCAGGGGCCCAACAAAGTAGGATTCCTCTGCCGGCCGCAGGATACGAACCGGCAACCTTCCAGCCACAGGCGCAGATCCTGAGCCACAATACCACTGCTGTGCCCTTTTTTTACCTTCTTTACCTTCTTTAAGCCCAGGGTAGCCTCTTAAGGTTGAAAAAGGTGAATTGAAATGGTTAAATAAAATTGTTTCTGTATAGGATTACTGCGTGCCTACATATAGTCTTGCAATAATTTTCCTATCCATCTAGCAGCTGCATAATTGAACTTTGGAATCTAATGAAACTTGAGCCTGAAAAGTACCAGCCATAACTGTAAGTCAAGCTCTAGCAGTATGAAGAAAATAAAAAATCTTTCTTTTATTTTACAGATTATGCATGCTTTTTCTGTGGCTCCATTTGACCAAAACCTGTCTGTGGATGGACGCAGCCTGACAGATGATTCAGCAACCTTGGGCAGCCTTGGAGTCATTCCCGAGTGTGTTATTTGTTTAAAGGTTTGTGAAAGGGAGCAGAACAGAGGAAAATGTGTCACGAAAATGTCTTAAGTTTCATGGCCTTAAGACTTTCACTTTTTTGTGCAACTTAAACACAACACTTCATTTCCAGATAATATCAATTAAATTACTGCAGTTCAGATGATTATAGAAAATGAAACTGGATAGTAGCCTCTCTGTACATTGAAATAGAAAAGGGGTCAAATTCAGTCTTGTTCAGGAAAGTCTTTTGCTGCCGTTTGGGCTACAGCCCAAAATTTTACACTCACAGAGTATACGTTTCATGGATTTTCAGAGCTTATTTTATGCATCACGGTTTTCTCCAGTAGTTTAAGTGCAATCCTTGGTTTTGTCTTAGGTGAAATATTAATCATGTGTAAATAACAGAAAACAAAACAAAGAAATTTAAAGGTAAATTATATCACCAGCACTGCATAAATAGGAGTGTGCCAGTGCCTAAAATAGGAAAAGAGAACATTTGACCCACGAAACAGATCATGGGCCAATGGCATCCACATCCACATACACATCCTTCCAAATGTATACATACCCTCGATGAAATAGGAACTGTGTATTGTCTTCAAATAAAAGATTGTTATCGAAACAGTATTGGTAAGGGCAACGCCGAATTGATCCTAAATAGAGTTCCCAAAAGCACAAGGAGTCACATTTATTCAAACCTCACAAGTATTTCATGCATCACAATGCAACAAATGTAGTGCTTTGGGACTAATTATTGGTCTTGCAGCTCTTGGGAAGCCTGGGGAAATCATGTACTCCCAACACATACCATCACATTTTGGCCAGACATCTGGTACTCTCTGCCAAAGAGCTCAAGCCTGGTTGCAAATCTGTTTTCGACATGACAGTGACCCAAAGCACACAACCAGTGGTTAACTACACTCAACATCCAGATCTCCATCCCACTGAATGTTTGTGTTTCAAGGTGAAACAGGGTCTGAAGGAGCATGAGTCATTCTGCCTGGAGGAATGGTCAAAACACCCCCTGCAGAACAGCCAGAATCCCTTAATGCTTTACATGAGGCATCTTGTCATCCTCCCTACTAGAGGATCTAGTAATTACTATCAGATGTAGGAATTAATGTGACATAGTGTCTTCTGGGCTTTAATTGTGACACATGTGACCTTGCTCTGTGCATGTCCTGTAAGATTGTTAGTGCTTTATCCAGACAAAGTCTTTGTTATAGCACCACAGATATCTAAAGCCAGATTTCCTGAATTCTGCAAGGACAAACATGTTTTCTCTGTAAAGACTATATTAAATTCTGCAGGAAGGGTGTTTAAACTACTGGATGATTAAATTAGATGCTGTCTTATTGTTCAAAGCCCTTTTCAAACTGTATTTGGAATCTGAAAACTAGAAGATTTTGCAATTATATATGCCATGACTTGCTCAGTGTAGGTGTCCAAAGGCTATAAGATACTGTATATTGCTGTGTTTGCTTTATGAAAATTAAACTAACCTGGAGATTAAGTAGAACTAAGAAAGGTTTCACCTACTGCACCACATTTATGAGTGAAGTTTGAGAATTGTGTAGACCAGCGAAATGGGCACAGTTGTTTATTTGGCACATTTTATTTTGTTGACAGGGTCACGTGCATAATTTAGGAATGTCAGTAAATCATTTGTGAAGAACATTCACTAAACCCCTTCTGTGAAACTTGTCTGTAAAATGAGTTGTGCTCAAATATGCTATAGAATGAGCTGTCGAAAGGAATGGTGCCACATTCCTCCTGCAGATTTCTAGATACTGGTAGACTCTATGCCACACCTGGTGGCCTTCCCTCCAAATAAAGTGATTGTACATTGGTGACTCCATTTCATTTTCTTTGTGTTACTACTTGTATGTTGGTATTTATAGACGAATGCTCACTGTGACCAGTAATCACCATTTACCACCTTTACTGCATATTGGACAGGGTGGGGATACATTACAATGATCTAGATAGTGTTTACAGATCTGTGTATTTTTGGTATGATACCATTGAATAATTTGTGGAGTTATGTTTGTGACTTGTATTCTTATTTCATCTGTTTTTTAAGGCTGACGAACCAATAGCTGATTATGCAGCAATGGATGATGTATTTCAAGGTAGGAGGTTTTCTTTGCTTTGTAAAAATTGAAATTAACTTGTAGGTTTTTGTCATATTCAGAGTTTGGGTCACCATTTTTTAAAATCTGAAATCTTTAAACATGACCTTATTAATCATTTTGTTTATGCATGACCCTCAACATAAGCAGGAAATCTTGAGAAAAGGTCCAAATTTGCTAAAGTATAGTAGTGAACTAATCACAATTGTAATAATTTTCTCTTTCTCTGTTAACAGTCTGTATGCCTGAAGAAGGATTTAAAGGTAAGCATCACAATGCATTTATTAATCAAGAGAATACATATATCCATAATAAACTGGATTGAGATGTGAAACGTGCAATACATATGTCAGAATATATAGTTATGTAAGCATAAGCAGTCCACTTTCTTAGGTGCTACTTAGCAAACAATTTTGTAAAAACAGAATCCCAAAAATGTGCTCACAATGCCTCTTACTTTCCAAATGTCAAAATCACTGTACTGTTGATCCACTTTCATGAATGGTTTGTACTAGGAGATTTTGTTTTTTAGGGACATAACTTATTCAAAAATAATTTCCAGGGCAATATTCTTTGTCGTGCCCTGTTAAACTAATTTATATACATTCATGGGCTGCCTCATGAGTCTGACAACACACTCATGTTGTAGCTCTTGTGTCCCATGCACCACAATACAGACAAGTAGTTGAATAATTCTCAGTTTTGCATATTCTTAAATATATTCTCTGGTGATATTTTGGTTAGTGGTAAAATGTGCAGAAATGTGTGTTCCA